ACCATTTTGTGGGGGAGGTTCTAAAAGGAGTGGACTAATATCACCCATCTTCGGAATATTAGGGACTTAAACCAACATTTTGATGAGGCACATTTTTGCCGTATCAAAGTGTATATACCCTCAGTAGCCATAACGTTGAGGGTATTAGTGTGAAATAAATCCATTATTTTTATATGAACTATAGGATTTTATTTAACGTGCGAGTCACTGTAGATGTGTGTGGCCTAGATAATTTTTTGGATTTTATCGACATTTTCGACCACCGGCCTGATGGATTTATTTTTCCTCAACCTAATATATACGCAAAGAATATAACCAGGAACGTATGCTAACCTTGAAAGCTATGAAGGACTACCTTTTGAATTCAAATGTGATAGAAATTCCAATTTCACAACCTCGCGAAATGTCTAAGGAAGGAACCAACAAACCCTTCACATTAAAACTAATCTGACCAGATTCTTTCAGTGTCGTCCCATACCGCAGTTTTCATTTATATGATTGAGTTTTTGCTGCATCCGCTGCAACTCTACTTCATGGTCTTCTGGTTCGTCATGAATTAGGTTGAACATTTCAGACTTATGTCAAAATTTTTTTGTCAAAATTGAATTTGATATAAACATCGAAGAATATTAACTAAAAACTCAAAATAATGGATGAAGTACTTATAACTCTTATAAGGGAAGATAAAATGAAATATACGACTGTCAATTCCAAATTCTAGCCCCAGAAAAAATGTATTTAGTCATTTCCGATTCTCAAACTCGCCTTATTTCGAAAAGAGTTGAACTCAACCAAACATCTCATTTTATCAAAAGAGACTTTCGAGTTATTGGAACAACTTTTTAAATATATTATTCACAAAGTAATTTAAAAAATTTAAACAAATATATACATATATTTTTTTCAAAATCTACAACCATATTAAATCATACTTAACTTCGCTTACCTCATTTCCACTCAATGGGTTTCCAGTGTGTGTTTGTGTGTGTGTGTTTCACTCTCAGTGTATTTTTCCAACTTCATTTAGATGACAAAGTGAAATTTTGTTCAACTGTCAAATGTTTTGTTGACTTTTTCTTATTTCTGCTTAAACACGCAAAAACAAAAAAAAAACTTTATGACAAGGGTTTTATAACATCCCACACGAGCGGGTATTGCTTACGGTTGTTGTTTTGGGTTTTTTGTCTCGGCTGTTGTTGATGGCATTAGTGAAGGTGTCTCTTCCGGTTACCTCATATTCGGTAACTTTTTCGATTATTTATTATTCACATTTTCACTTTATTAGTTATATTGTTTACTGTAGCTCTTGCTCGGTGTGATGGGGTGCTGGGGGCTCGGTCTCTGGCGTGGCTTTTTGACTAACACCAGCCTCGGCTGGTTTGGATGGTGTTAATCAACTTGACTGTCTTATGGAAAGGAAAAGTTTTTCTTAATTTTGTTATCGATTATTTAGGCACCACTTGAACTTTGACAGCTAACTGCCCACCCACCAGCTACTTAAATGTTTTTATACCCTTTTCTCCGAACAAACAGAGGCAGACCACAGGACTATGGTCGGATTGTGTGTGCGGTTGTTGTTGTTGTCTTGCGTTTCGTTCATTTGTTTGCTTATTTGCTTAGCTAATTAAAATGTTGTCATAATCAGCATTAGTTTAAATTTGTAAAGTTTGTGTTTCTGCACTTGAAATCGATGGAAGAGACCAGAACAGCAAGTCAAACGCCAACCGCATTCAGCTAAGGAAACAAACAAACAGACACTTCTAACTGTCTGACTGTTTGCTTAGATTTTGAAGTGTTATTTTAAAATGACAGAAAGTGAAAACAAAAACGACTACGACGACGTCGACAATGAGCATAAACATGCGAATGGGAATAATATCCCAATAACCGCAAAACCAACAACAATGACAATGACAACACCAATAATTGACTACCATACAACAACACCAAATGTCATACTTTATTTAAGTTGTGGTGATTAATTTAAGAACTTTTTGTTCAAAGTTCTTCCAATAATTCTCAAGAAGAGTTCATTAAAACTTCTGGGGTCGACACTTGGCAAGTTAATATAATTCCGTCCATTCAAGTGGCCGCACCGGAGTGGGGGTCAACAATTCAAATTGAAGCAACATTGTGCTCATTGTTGGTACCATTGGTCGGTTTGTCGGTCGATTGGTAAGATCCAACTGCTGTTGCCATTGCTGTGTTTCGAACATTTCAAACAAAGGGGCAAAGAATCAAAAAGTTCCTTTGTGGAAATTTTGAAAGCAAATGCCAAATGTTCGAAAACTTATGACAGCAATCTCTTTGAATGGGATCAAAATGTGGATGGGAATGAATGCAGATTGATAACAGCAGCAGTTGTGTGAAAGCCAAGAGGGAAATTCATACTGTAGGTTTTAAAGAAAAACTTTGTATTTTGTTTTCATTAAGGGGAAATATGTTTTCTCTTTAATGAGACACACCAATTAGAATGTTGAGAACATTTACATATATTTACATTATATTAGCTATTACTAGCATATAATAATAATGTTCCATGATTTTTGGAATGTATATTTATTTATATACATTTCTCTGTCTTACAATCTACTCCTAGAACATCCTGTGTATATGGACATTTCCGGAAAAAGGTAAACCAAAGTCGAAGAATTTGTTTCCTTTATTGTGCTTAAATACGTGAAGTTACGGTAAAAAATACAAAGAATGACCACATAATTACTAATTTAAAGATTATAAATGCAGACACTGCAAAATTAAAAATGTCGCATGAGTGACCGAGAAAACCCTTCGAAAATAAAGGATATGCCAAACTTTGAAAGTGCAATAATAATGCTTGATATCTCTTATTCATGTAAAGAATATCTCTTATTCATGGAGAATTGTAAAACTGTAATTCTTTTTTATTTATTTAACATTTAAAGTTTGATTTTGCCTCTGAAAGTCGTGTAAGTGCCCATTTTTAACAGAATGGAATTAAAAGAATCACTTTCTGAGGACAGGAATATGTCCGTCAGTACGTCCATGTATATTGAAAACAAAGTACAGCTCGCAATTATGAGAGAGATATAATTTTCACAGCTTATTTATTTGGCCCAAGGACGATATAATACTTATGTATAGTTTCGTGCGATTCTACGTAGTTTCGTGTTTCTTTCGATTTCCTGTAAATTGTGCACTAAATGCCCAAAGTTGTCCAATTGAGACGGGATATTGTACAGCGTTCTAAATTGATCCTAGAATATTTTATAATTTTAACGATATCGTTCTTGGTTTGGATACAGTTTCCGTATATTTTTTCGTAATTGGATCACTACATATCAAAACTTTACACGACCTACTAAATTGAATCTAGAATGACGTGTGTTAAGTTTTTTTGAAATCGGTTAAGATTTCATATAAATGATGTACGGAAATATTGGTCCTAGATTTTCATATCATACCTCAACTAACTTGATCGGTATAAAGTTTATTATGTTCCATATAGAATTTGCCATTCTGATGGCAACATAACAAAATTTGCGATCTCAGAGGTATTATTCTACTATTTCAATTTAAATGTTCATAGCTGATGTGGAAGTAATCGACAGAAAATTGATAAAACCTGCAACATTTACAGAATTCTTTTACAAAATTTTCAGTTTCTAGTAGATGTTGTTTCTATACCAAAAAATACAAAAATGTGATTTTTATAAATTTTGATACAATTTTGTTGATTTGAGGATTTGAGACTTGTATGTACCCAGTCTTGTATTGTATGTCTTGTATGCAGTCAAAATTCATTCATTTATGTGGGCTTTGTTATGGTGCTGAGCCTCCTAGAACCCTCTATACAAAATTACATCCCCATTGGTTGGGAAATGCGGCTTAAGTCTCCAAAACACCGAAAATGCGATGGTACCGTTCTATGGGAGCTATACCAAGCGTAAACTGACATTTATATTTTTGGAAGGAAGATTTGACACCCCATAATAATTTAATAAATCAAAATTCGGTTGTCCAAACCAAATCGTAGGCCAATATTGATATTTTTTTGGTAAGAAGATTTTCTACGCAATAAGAATTAAAAATATAAAATGACAGATATGTTTGGAGGGTAACATTAGATTGGGGCTACCCTAACATGTGGGTCAGTTTTGATGATTTTCGGTAGGAAGATTTGATACCCAATGAGAACGAAACGTAGCAAATTACAGCCAAATGTGTCAAAAATGCCCATAATAATGTGTCAAACATTAATACCTAATATTTGGGGGTAGCGTTTTATGAGGGCTACGCCAAAACGTGGACTGATATTCCCCATTTGCAATATAAACCATCCTAGGATAGAAACGCCAGCGCGCCATCTCGTATATTGAGATCTCTATCGAGATTTCAACAGTAAAAATATACTTTATAGGGCCTACAATTAATATTTATATGTGTTGCAAACGGAATGACAAATTTAATATAAAATGCATTGTTTATTATTATCTTTATTACAATCTCAGGTTTGAGTTCAGCAGAATGTATAACCACTGTGGTAGATTTGTAGTGTATAAAATGATCGGTTGCGAATAAACATGACTAAATCGTCAAAAAAATAAATTTTTATTATTATTATTTCGAGATACAAACCAAAATAATACTCAACCACTATATGACGTATACAAACCTACATATAAACATTTTATAAAAATGTAATTCAGCCAATGAAATAGTATAAAATATCTGCTTTCCGTAAAATTATCTTTTACAAATTATATTTTCACTAAAAGTTTTGCTATTAAGCGCATACAAAATTGATCACTTGCAGGTTTGTTTTTGATGCTTTGGCCCACACCCATAGTGGAAGACACACAAATAATGTGATTGAGATTTCTTGCACATTTCTAATACTGAAATAACTACAAAGAGAACAAAAACAACAACGTCCTCAACAAAAACCATTGAGTTGATATCACTTTTATCATTTGTCATTTAATCGAGTCGTTTTTTGTTGTCATTTGTCTTTCTTGCAGTTTTGCCGAAATTTGATCCATTTATCAGCGGTCTCCAGCATACCTACAGATACCATGATTACATCCAGTTGAATTGCAGTTCGGAGGGGTCAAATCCTCCGGCATCTCTTACGTGGTATATCAACAACAAAACGGTACGTAAAAACTCACACATACCTACTCACACATAAATACATCGCCACTCTATGCACACAAATATGGACTTTGGATTTGTCATTCCTAGTTGTCCCTGTGGCCATACATCGCCACAAACATACATACTCGTACACACATCCACTGACACAGACTCATACTCATATGGTTCCGCATTTGGTTTTATGTTGCTGTTGTTCCTCTTCCTGTTGTGTTATTGTTGCAATTTTCGTTACTGTTGTTGTTGTTGCTGCTGTTGTTTTAGTTGCCGTGATTGTAAACGTTATTGCCGCTTGTTGTAGTTCTGATAATGGTGCAATTTAACCAGTACAATTTGTGAGCGAATACATGTATGTGAGTTGCAAGAGACAGTGTGTGTGTGTGGAACAACAACAATTTTAAATGTCACTGAAATTTAAAAATCTGATCCTTTTCTTTGGATTACAGTAGGGCATATACGTATGTTGACGGGTACATCCATCGTAAAAAGGCAACAATTATTTTTTGACTATATAAGAACTTTAAATTCTTTAAAACTACATTTTTCAAAATCTATAGTATGCTAACAGTTTCGCACGATTGTTTACGAAAATTGTCAAGCTACGAACTAAATGCTGATCAACCAACTCTAGCAGGAAACTGTAGTTAAATAAGAAACAATTCCAAATCAGGTTCTTTCCATGTCACAAAAAAGTTCAAGTTGTGTTGTTTTTTTTTTATACCCTCCACCATAGTATGGAGGGTATATTAGTTTTGTTTTTCCGTTTGTAACGCATCGAAATAACCATTTCCGACCCTATAAAGTATATATATTCTTGATCAGCGTAAAATTCTATGACGATCTAAGCATGTCCGTCTGTCCGTCTGTCTGTTGTAATCACTCTAGCGTCTAAACGAATTGAGATAGAGCCCCAAAATTTTTCATAGAGCCGTCTTTTGTCTGCAGGCAGGTCAAGTTCGATGATGGGCTATATCGGTCCACGTTTAGCCATAGCTCCCATATAAGGGTACCTCCCATTTTTCGGTATTTTGAAGTTCTTAAGCGTGTTTTTCAACCGAATTCGCTGAAATTTGGTACATTGGGTTCTTATTGGGTACCAAATTTCCCCTCTAAAAATTATAAATATAGGTCCACTTTTTCTGGTAGCCCCCATATAAGGGTACCTCCCAATTTCCAGTTTTTGGGGAGGTTTTGACCGGATTTTTTCACCTAATTGACTGTAATTTAGTAATTTGAGTTCTTATTGAGTAGCAAATCTCTTCACAAAACATTATAAATATAGGTCAATTTTTTCGGGTAGCCCCCATATAAGGGTACCCCCAATTTTCGATATTTTGAGGTTCTTGAGCGCGTTTTTCAACCGAATTCGCTGAAATTTGGTAATTTGTAGTCGTATATGGTAACAAATCTCCCCACCAAAAATTATTAATATTCACCGCTTTTTAGGGGTAGTCCCCATATAACCCCCTTTTTTATATTAAAATAGTTTACTGATTTGTTCCGTGTGTTGCGGTTGGTTAGTCGTTACGGGGAATAGTCAATTTTTACCCTACAAAGACTATTTAGCCATCTGTTGTAAGCATTCCGCCTTCTATAGATATTGTGATAAAAAAAAACTCAAACATGATGATAATGAAATATATCGGCAGACATTTAGGCATATCCCCAATATCGTGATACCTCCTGAAGGAAATAATTGAGATAAACAATTAAAATATTTGGTTCAAAATTGGCATATACCGGTCATTAATTAGGCATAGCCCTCATATGATGATATCCCCAAATATTCACTATTTCCTACACTATGTAATCAATATTGGTCCCTCGTTAGGCATAGCCTCATATAACTTTTTAATCTAAATTACAGCAGTTTGAGGATTTCATACTCTACAATGCGTTATAAATATCAGTCCACTTTTTGGATCATACAGATTTTAGGAAAAATCCCCATTAAAAATTGCCGAAGTTTGTATTTAATGTACATAATGGTTTACATAAATCGGTATTTTCGGTATGTGCCCACTTTTTGGTATGTTCCCTATATTTTCATTGCATGTATCTGTCAGTATAACTATGGTGGAGGGTATCCAAAGTTCGGCCCGGCCGAACTTAACGCTTTTTCACTTGTTTTTTTTTTTTTTTTTTTGAATTTACACAGATGTTTTATTATTCGCTTTATAATAAGGAATATTTTTTTCTCTCAAAGAGGCTTCGGATTTAATGTTGATCAAATCGAATTAAATTTATAAGTTTATAAAATATTGACCCTTTCTGAGGAAGGTATAATAAGGAGTGGACCAATGGCTCCCATCTTCGGACTTGATCTAGGCTTAGTAAAAATAATAGGTTATGCAATAGCTTGGGTTCAAATCGGATAGTCCATTCGCATGATATACAATTAATATTTTACACAATTTTCACGATTTTCTGGGGAAGGTTCCAAAAGGAGTGGACCGATATTCCCCATCTTCGAACATTAAGGTTTGGATGAAATCGATTACTCACTTCGAGAATTATCGTGCGTACCAGCCGACAGACGGGCGGACATTTGTAAATCGACTCCAAATTGTCTGAATCGGATTTGGCCCAAAGAAACATGGGGTTTAAATACATATTTCGATGAGGCACATTTTTGCTGTATCAACTTGTATATACCCTCATTAGCCATATGGCTGAAGGTATACAAATCAAGTTATGGAATCTCAAGCACATCTTTCAGCTATTTGTATGCACTCCGGCATAAATAATGGATTTTCAGAATTTCTTACAAGAAGTTGGACAACATTTAAGAGATTACGTTAGCTAACTATTGTCATACTTTGACAACGCACTGTTCATCCCTGTGCCTCTGTGTGTGACATGCGTGAGTGTCCTGCTCTTTTTGATTTTTTTTTTTTTATGTTTTGGTATCTGTGATTTATTGCACAATGTGCATTTTGTTGCATAGTTTTGATAGAGACCCCAACTTTCAGACATTTAGTTGGGGTATAGGTCACTAGATACACACTAACAAATGTATTTAAGTCTCTAACGAACAACGCACTAACACACACACAAATATATGTTGGGAACATTGTTTTGTTTATGTTGACGTTTCATGTTGATTAAAATTGCAATTGGGAAAAGTGTTTGTAATTTAAACTCGGTTCTCTATCTTTCGGCCATACTGCTGGGCATACGTTGTGGGCTTAGTTGTGTGCAAACTTGCGGGGAGGAAGAGGGTTTAAAATAAATTTATATAAACTGTAAAAATATCTTTCTTCCATAGAAATATTTGAGCAACCACTAAATCCCAACCAAATCCATTTTATATTGGAATTCTGAATTAAAAAAAAAAAAATATATTGTGGTATATTTGAAAAACTCTCATGTTTTCAAAACAAGAGTTTAATTATAAATTGTATTGACTAAAATGTTCTTTTTTACAGACAGGCACTTTATGAAATTTGTCCTTCGATATTTGACATGCAATGCTTTGCTGGTTTGACTTCAATTAATAATAGAAATTTTAGGACAATTTTTCGAATGAAAAAGTGTCCAAATATTAAATTTATATGACCACTTTGTGTTTATTCTACATACCGACGTCGCCTTTTCGGAGGAACATTGACATATGGAATTTAACGAACTTAAATATGTGATCTTTATCTATAAGTGAACCGACTAACATCAATCCATACACAACCCTTTCCACAACCTTTGATAAATACCATTTCATTCGGGCAGATTAAAAAACGCAATAACGTCATTTTAGCCTCAATTTGATACGTTGTGCAAATTTCGTGTCAATCGGACAAACATTAGGAGTATTGTGCACCATGTTTCTAAAATCGGACGATTTCAACGAAACTTGCCAGTGATTAAATTTTATTAACTTCAGTACATTGTACAAAATTGTGTGCTAGTCGTACAAACTTTGGGTCTTTAATGCACAATTTATATAAAATTGGAAGTAAATATATACGGAAGTAAATATATACGGGAACTGATTTTTACAAAACTTAGAACACATCATTCTGGACTCTATTCAATGTGCTGTGTCAAATTTCGTGCAAGTCGAAGAATATATAGGGTCTTTGGTGTACCATTTACCTAAAATCGGACGAAAATATATATGGAAGCTATATCTAAATCTTAACCGATATTCAGTGTGGTGAAGGGTATAAAAATGATTGGTACTACATCAATAGTTTTTGGTTCATTGTTGAAGACAAAAATCCTGATTTCAAATATGTTCACATTAATAATATTGTTTCTTGCAAGATAAGTTTATGATGCATTTTGTTTGTTTGGAAAAAAATCACAAAATTATATAAATGCATGTAATATTGAGAAATATAACAAATAAATGATCTTCTAGATAATTTGATATATACTATGCGATATATACTATGTGATGAATTGTACATTTATTTTCCTCAAAATGAAGCCTATTGAGATTGATGAGTATCTGCTCAGACTAAGATATAGCTTCTATTTATATTATCAGCCGATAATCTTTGTAATCCACATCTGTCCGATAGACATACAATTTTGCACAGTAGACCAACTTGAACTTTGATATTCTTCACCCTACTTTGGTACAGGGTATTCGTAGTTTTAAATATAGCTTCCATGTATGTTTTCGTCCGATTTTATATAAATGGTGCGCAAAAAACTATATGTTTCTTCAATGTCCACTACATTTTACATAGCGTATTGAATTTAGAATGAATCTTACGACGGAAGTTTTTCCTCGATTTCAAGGAAATTGTGCTCCAAATAACCAACGCATGTCTGATTAAGTTGACATTATGGGCAGGGCAATATATTATATTTTATAGGGGCCGAATAAAATACATTGGAAAAAGTTATTACTTTCATTCTTGGATCAAGCCCGGATTTCATTGCTCATTTGTTATACGGTTCAGGTTCTCTGAAGTGCCTAATTTTCTAGTAAGACAAATTCTTCCTTTGTGGACTTTTAAATTATTATTTTATCTTTTATCGTCATTATTGAATGGCCCCCAAATGTGTCAGCCGATTTGCATAGCTGTTTAAAACCTGCAAATTCAAGTTGGTTCGTTGCTGTAGAAAAAAAGGTGATTGGATTCGCATTAGGTTTTTCCGATCCCATTATCGACTAAAGTCTGAGCCCTAGTGTACTGGTGTAAAACACGCACACACTATTACAATATACATAAGTATTGAACCACCTATTGAACATACTTTGTCATTTTTTTAATGATCTCAAAATCTATGAAATACTAATTAATTTTTTTTTATTTTGTGTGCACTACGAATTGCACGAAATTTTTGGATTATTCCGATGCATAAGCTTTGTCCGCTTTTCAGTTTAACCAAACACTCTGATGTGAATACGCATCATTCAAATGACACACCAAAATTGTATGATCATATTGCAGTTCTAACAAAGCAAAGTCGTTACGCCATGTACAAATACACTCACACACACAAAAAAACACACCATTTGTAATATTTCGTTGACAGATGGATTTGGAACATTTTGTCAATTCTCTATCTGACATTTGATTAACGCTCTTAATACAATTCGCTTCAAATTTGGTGTTTCGTTCCATTACAGGCCGCTGTTAAATCCGTCAAACCACAAATCAACGAAATATCTCGAACGTCGGATGGTTTCCACTTATATTCCAGTAATCTGCAATTACTCATAAACATAGATGACTCGCGGTTCATAACGAAAAGTGAGGTTTTGGAACTGAAATGCGTGGCCGACATTATGGGCATACCAAGTGCACGGCGTGAAACGAAAGTGAGAGCCACAATCCTCGCATTGGCCGATACCAGCCACAAGCAACGACTGCAAGGCCCGAATAGCTCAGCCACTAGCATTCAATGTGATGGAATGACGGCACGTAATGTATTCAGTAAGTATGCAAGTGTAAATAACAGCACCCTCTTCGCTCACCCACCTCCCATTACCATCATTTTCTATTTGAACTAATAATATACAAAGGCATGGCTTAACAGATTTTCTATACTTTCTATTTATCGCTCTCTGCTGCACACACTTTGAATATGCCTCCTCGTCCTTCCCATCGTGTGGATTGTGCGGTGCATCACATAGTTGCAGCATGGACAACATCAACGCTAATATCGAAAACGGGTATGTGGCGCTTAATTTATGACCTCGTGGCAATGATTTTGGCAAGTCGACGGCAGAAAGCTGGCACGAACTGCCTGAGTTAGCTGCACCGCATTTGTCTTGTAGATGCCTTGGTATCCAGTCATAATGCCAATCTATTTAAGTTAACATATAAGGAGGGATTAGTCAAATAAGTGATTTACCTTTACGAGAGCATTCCTGTTTCCATGATGACGATAATGCAGGAGATTCGTGTACTGGCATGTCTGCATTATTTCGATTATTCGTGGTTATCATAGTGATGACGATGATGATGTATTTTGTGTAAGAATTCAAGTGAAATAAATAAAGATAAACATACCAATATACAAATTAAATGTATCGATTATTTCCACAAGTGCATCTATTAAGAATTTAGGCAAATCTTTTGGGCTTTTCCAGGTAAGGCCGAATACCAACAAATGTGAATTCATATTTACTGATGAATTGGCAGTATGACAGACAAGTTAAATATAATATTCTCGAATGTATATTAGTTGGAATTGGAAATTAATTATCTGTTTATTGAACAATTAAAATAAATTAATTAATTTATAATCATCTTATCATGCCATTAACCATCCCATCTCAAACACACACACGCATGCAAATTCTGAAAATTCGGAGTAAAACTTTCAGTGCAAATAGTTTGATATTAAATATGAAATGTGTTCAAATTTATGTATGGTATTAATCGAACGTATCATTTACAAATGACAATGGAAATAGTTCAAAAAACAATTATTCTCCACCTAAAAATGTTAGATTTTATAAACATGTCGCAGACGTTATGATCTCAAAATCAAAGTCGTACTATCGATATACTAGGGTATTATTTGATCTGGTGCAGTAGCCTATAATGATAAATAAGAAAATAAACTTTTTAGCATACGACATGAAGACATCGGATTATGTAGCAGATATTTGGGTTTCGCATTCTTCTTTTTATCATTTTTCGAGAACCTTTCTAGTCTTAGAATATATTTACAATACCGTATGTACGGAACGTTCCTTGCTTCCTCAAAGTACACAGCCTTTCAGGCGAAAGTCTCCGAGGCTTGTTTTAAATATTCATTACGATATACAGTGAGTGTAATAAGTATTTTGCCTCAATACAAATTTGACAAATTTCTAATATATACGCCTAAAGCCATCATACTAAAGATGTAAAATGAATTATGTATGATAGGATATGTTTGTAGACATATTTAGATCTTATTTCTGCAAGAATCACTGCGAAAGACCTATTGGTCTCGAAGATATCGGCCAAAATCTATACCATCCCAAAAATCATTTTTGAAAAAATCATTATATAACACACACTTTGTCTTTTTATAGTTACCATTGCGGGTAACCACATACTAAAAGCGATTTGGCGACGATTCCAATAAACCACGGCATTTTTTCGCGAATATTTTCTCATAATTTACGTTCAATACATTCTCTAGCAATTTTTCATTTAATATATGGTTATTTCTCGTCCTAATCTCAAAATGAGAGTATTAGATATAGTCGTCGCGGCTTCAAAACATCCCAAATGACTTTAGAATAATAAAAAGGAGGTTTTGCAAAATATATCGCGAGGACAGGGCCCTAAAAACTATTAAAACCAAAATCCGACAAACAAATTATTAAAAAAAAATATCGCGAAATCCCATTTTTCAGACTTTGAAAACTTTATGGTCCATTAATATTGATCTAGGAACCAATATATGCGGTGAAAATAGCAATAAGAAGGTCAGATTCTATGATATGAACGGTTTTGTGGCAATAGAAATACAGCAAATTTCGAAAATAAATAGATCGACCAGTTTATTCACTGATGCATTTTATTCGCAACTGATGGTGTTAAACGGATGTAAAATATTGACTGCGTATTCGTCACCAGCTACCCCAGTTTTTTAAAACGCAATACTATTTGACGAAGAATGATGTTTTCTCCCAACTACATGTAATGCTTGTAGTTTCTGTTGTTTTAGAACTGTTCATTTCTTTGAATCTGACCACTTTATTACTATTTTCATCGCATATATTGGTTCCTAGATCAATATTAATGAACCATAAAGTTTACAAAGTCAGAAAAATGGGGTTTCGCGATATTTTTTTTTTAATAATTTGTTTGTCGGATTTTGGTTTTAATAGTTTTTAGGGTCCTGTCCTCGCGATATATTTTGCAAAACCTCCTTTTTATTATTCTAAAGTTAGTTGGGATGTTCTGAAGCCGCGACGACCATATCTAATACTCTCATTTTGAGATTAGGACGAGAAATTACCATATATTAAATGAAAAATTTGCTGGAGAATGTATTGAACGTAAATGTGAGAAAATATTCGCGAAAAAATGCCGTGGTTTATTGGAATCGTCGCCTAATCGCTTTACCCGCAATGGTAACTATAAAAAGACAAAGCGTGTATTATACAATGATTTTTTCAAAAATGATAATAAAAAGCAAAATACTTTTTTGCAGAAATAAGTTCTAAATATGTCCACAAACATATCCCATCATACATAATTCATTTTACATCTTTAGTATGCTGGCTTTAAGCGTATATATTAGATTTTTGTAAATTTTTTATTGAGGCAAAATACTTATTACACTCACTGTATATATATATAACGAAAGGATATACAGTATAACTTCGATAATTCGTAATTCAAGGGACCAGCAAATTTTTACGAATTATCGAAGATTACGAATTATCGAGATTACGAATTAACGAGGTTAAAATAAAAAAATGCGAATTATCGAGGTTTCTTCATTTATTAAAATATTTATATAAAAATTCAGAAAAAAACAAATACTTCAATTCATATAGCTTAGGGGACCCCCCCCATTCTCGGGGTCAAAAATTTTGTTGATATAATTCGAATCTACACTAATTACAGAATGTCCCTACAAAATTTCAAATGAAAATCTCAAGAAGTCTTGAAGATATAGCCGATTTATTTTATCAGCATCAAGTGACGGCTGAAGGGCTTCTCAAACTTTAAACGTGTTTTTCTCTTTTTTTTGCGAATATATATATATATATATATATATATATATATTAAATAGTTAAATAATGATTCGTCAACAGCATGGTTTGATGAAAAAGAGCGTAGTTTTTAAATTGATGATTCTTCATTTTCGACTGAAACTTGTTCCAAAATATCGTCATCTCCCAGATTTCCAGTAACACCAACGTCATTATCAACCTTTACGTATTCTTCAAAGGTAACGACATTCTCGGAATTAAAAGGAATACGTTGGAATTCGTTATTGATATTTACAATCGGTTCATCGGATACATTGTAGATCACATCCTTAACAAAACCGCAAGCTCGGAAGCAATTTTGAATACACGATTGGCTTATGTTCATCCAAGCTTTGTAAGCCATAGCATAGATGTATGTAGTGTAAATACAAATTCTCTTTTCTCATCTATACAACTTACTTTGCGGTATAATGTTTTAAAATTTTTAATTATACCCTTTTCCAAAGGCTGCAGGACGGAAGTAGTGTTAGGCGGTACGAACTCTACCTTAATATAGCTGAGATCGGGGTACCTGTTGTGTGCAGTGCAATTGTCAACGAATAAAACAATCTTTCTGTTTTGACTCTTCATGCTATTGCCCAACATTTGAAGCCATTCGTTAAATATTTCAGTTGTCATCCAAGCTTTTTTATTGTACCGGTATTCTACTGGGAAAGTTTTTTTGTTTCGTTTTTTTTTTTTACCTTATCAAGCCAGCCGTTACTTGCTTTAAATGGTTCACATTTAACTTTTTGGCGAAAAAAATTGGCCTTTTCTATTAATAATGGGCCTGAAACTGGCAAATTAGACTCTCGGCATTGTCTAAACCATAAAACTAAAGCCATTTCTCCAGCGGGATACTCTGGTAATTTTTGCCGTTTTGCTTTGCTGCTAGGAGAAGATTGCAAAATGAAATCTCTCTTTTTATACCCTTCACCCACTGTGGTACAGGGTAGTATGTCTTTGTGCATATGTTTGAAACAGACAAAAATAAACGAGATAGACACATGGTTCCTTTTGAGAATATCCATAGAATCACTTTCTAAGTCAATTTATGCATGTCCGTCCGTCTGTCTGTTGATGTTAAATTGTAAACAAAGTACAGGTCGCATTTATAATCCGATTTGGCTGAAATTTGGTACAGCTCATTTATTTGGCCCAAGGACGAACCCTATTGAAATTGGGAAAAATCAGTTCAGATTTAGATATAGCTCCCATATATAGTTTCGTCCGATTTAAGGTAAATGGGGCACCAAAGTCCCTCTATATCTTTCGATTTGCATGAAATTTGGCACATAGTACTGAATTAGGTCCAGAATGATGTGTGCCAAGTTTCGAGAAAATCGGTTCAGATTTAGATATAGCTCCCATATATAGTTTCGTCCGATTTAAGGTAAATGGTGCACCAAAGTCCCTATATATCTTTCGATTTGTACGAAATTTGGCATAACGTACTGAATTGAGCCTAGAATGATGTCTGCCAAGTTTCATGAAAATCGGCCCAGATTTAGATATAGCTTCCATATACAGTTTCGTCCGATTTCATGTAAATGGTGCACCAAAGTCCCTATATATCTTCCCATTTGCACGAGCGATGTCTGCCAAGTTTTCTAGAAGTACAGACATAGCCCAGCGGATGACCTATTGATATTGTTTGAAGTCGATTTTCATACTTTTGTCCCAAACGAATGACATGTTTATGGATATATCAAGTCCGATTCACATTTAGATAAATATCACATATTTTATTTCATCCAATTTCTTGTTAATAATGCTGTTTAATATACCCATAATGGTGAAGGGTA